ATCACCTTGATTTTCATGCAAAACTGCTCCTGGGTTCTCATGTGGCCTTTGGTGGCCAGGCTGGCACTATCCTGCCATAGACAGCTATGTTCTTCTGTCTAGTGCGGAGATCATGGACGTTGGGGGCATCCCCCCCAAACCTGAATGAAGTCCATGATCTCCAACCTGGACCAGGAAGGCGCCGCGGGCAGACTGCTCCCGGGGAGCGGTGGAGGGCTGCCTGCCAGTGGCTTGCTGGCTCATGGGTCAGGGGCAGTTACTGCTGGCTCTGGGCTGGCAAGCTTGGAGCTGGCACAGACACTGTGGTCAGAGTCAATCCCTTTAAGGGCTTTGGGGAGGAGGGAGGGAGAGGAGTGCTCTTGGTTGAGGCTGGAGTGGCCACCAGGGCACCCTGGGAAGGCTGGAGGCCCCCTCTTTTGATATAAGTGTCTACAGAGCACTTATTTTGAAATAACTATTTTGAATTTGGCGTTATTCCTCATGGAATGAGGTTTACCAAATTCGAAATAAGTGCTCTGCTATTTCGAATTAATTTCAAAATAGCGGGTTGGCTGTGTAGATGCGAGTAAAGTTATTTCGAAATAATGGCTGTTATTTTGAAATAACTTCGTTGTGTAGACATACCCTAACAGATTAGTCTTTAAGGTGCTACAGTCCTCTTTGTTATTTTAAAAAATCAAATCAGAACAAAACATTTCAACTTTAACAACATGGCAGGTGGTGACTGAACCAAAACAACCCCTCCCCCAAATCACTTTGTGGGAAATTTTGAACTTTTGTTGTTTTTCATTTCAATTTGGACCCAGAAGCTACAGACATGCATTTTAGTCCCGTATATTCTAATGCTTACCCACTCTAGTGATCCAAATGAAGATGCTTCCATGCTCCAGACAGGAATATCAAGAGCTTGCATCTCATATCACTGGTCGTGATCTGTCTAAAACAAGAGAGTGGCTGTTGTTCAGTACATCACTTATATGACCTCTGCTACCTCAAAGCTTGTTGAAAGGGAGATCAGGATACGTAGACATAATATAGGCGTAACAGATTCACAGCAGCCACTTGGGATAGGAGTAGACTCATGTATATTGCCACATATGTGTCTAGTAATGACCAAGGTCATAAAGGAATCAGTAGCAGTCCCAGAACAATCAAATTCTTCCTAAAGGAGCCATCTTAAGTCTTGCGTACACTAATCCTTTCCTCGGTTGATCTACCCTATGCAACTTCAGCTATGCAAATATGAGACAGTCATGCAAGACGGTATCAAAAGCCACTAAAGTCAAAAGCTATTCCACATCTACTGCTTCCTCCATCCTCAAGCTTGTTACCCTGCCAAAGAAAGTTATCAGATTGGTCTGACATGATTTGTTCTTGACAAATCCATGCTGACTTTTATTTTATGCCTTATTATCTTCTATATGTTTGCTGATTTATTGCTTAATTATTTGCTGTTATCTTTCCGGGTACAGAAGTTAAGTAGACTGGTGTGTAATTCACCCCTTTGTCCTTATTTCTCTTTTTTTTTTTGGTAGCTTGGCACTACATTGGCCCAGCCCTTTTCCTGCATGTAATACATGTAATGTACTAAAAGATCACGGGGTTACCCAGGAAAGGCCTGGTGGAAAAATATTTAGAGTGAACACACATTAGCTGGCACTGGTATATAAAAGGCACATGGATGCCACATACCTGTGCAGCTTGACCAGCAATTATATATTTTTTTCCTCCCCCCACCCGCCCCAATGGATGCCACATACCTGTGCAGCTTGACCAGCAATTATATTTTTTTCCTTCCCCCACCCCACCCCCACACACACTCAGAAATAATCACAAATTACTCTGGCAACCAGCATTCCCTCCAAGCCTGTGTGACCACGTAGGAGAGATTCCAATGAAACGCAGCTAATTAGCAGACCACCCATAGGTAGGTTTGTGTTTCTACTGGTGGTGCACATTCACACAGGCCTCAGTGCATATAAAATTTATTCTGCACATGGATAGAAAAAATCCGCATAGGATGGAAAAGATTAGAGGGAGCATTGCAGTTAACGTGAAATCAATCAGATTTTTCAAAAAGACTCGGGTGCCTCGAGACAGATGTGCTGCCCCATTCTTTCTTCTGTGCGCTGCTCCGAGGTGTGAGTTTGTGGAGGGTAACAGAGGGATCTAGAAGCAAGATCACATCTAGCCAGACCTACAGGCTTAGCTAATAATTGGCCTGGGTTCCCACAGCCAAATCCACAACGCACATCTGGAATGCAATCTGCTCCCCTTGCACTGGGCTCAGCATCATACCTAACAGGGGCAATTGGAGCCCCGAGAGGGGACAGAAGGCCCACGCTGAGATAAAAGCACTGACAACATGGCCAGGACCAGACAGCCCAAGAGGAGCATAAGAAGGAATGAGGAGGGGCTCTGCATAGGGAAGGTACAATTGCAGCCCTTGGGCAATGTTCTCTGTACGATGAGCATTTGGGCTGCCACCCAGGAGAGATTCCAATGCCTCCCAGCTGATTAGCAGAGCACCCACATCTGGCAGCACGTGTTTCTATCGGTGGTGCACATCTGTATGGGTGCATCTAGACTACATTCCTCTTTCGAAAGAAGAATGCAAATGAAGAAAATCGAAAATGCAAATGAAGCGCAGATTTACAAATCTCACGCTTCATTTGCATAATCGCATCCGATTGCTTTTTCGAAAAAGGTTTCTTTTTTTTAAAAAAAGCAGACTAGACGCAGTTCTTTCGAAACAAAACCCGCTTTTTGAAAGAACCCTTATTCCTGAAATAATGAGGTTTACAGGGTTCTTTCGAAAAAGGGTTTGTTTTTTTTTTCCAAAAGAACCTCGTCTAGACTGTTTTTGTCCGAAAAAGCAATTGGATGCAATTATGCAAATGAAGCGCAAGATTTGTAAATCTGCGCCTCATTTGCATTTTCAATTTCCTTCATTTACATTCCTCTTTCGAAAGAGGAATGTAGTCTAGACGCACCCCATATGTCTTGGTGCACATGAGAAAATTAATTCCGCATGCAGATGGAAAAATTAGAGGGAATATTGCCCCTGGGCCCACCTCAGCTATGGCTGAAACCACCCATTTTGCTGAAATCCACCCAAAAAGAGCCATGGTCCTTCTCTCATCCGCTCCTCAACCAGTGAGGATAGCCAGATGCTCTGCAGGGGAAGGCAAGAGGAGAAGGATAGCTTGCTGCACCCTCCTTCATACAGTCCCCATCCATACCTGCTCACCCGCCCCTCTGACAGCCCCATGCCCTTACCCCAAAGAACTAACCCTCCTAGAGCTACCACTGAGCTGATGCAGTCTGAAATGCCCCCTGGGTAAGTGCCTATCCAGGTACAATCTGACCCTTCATGAGGACGGCAGCTCTCCCATGTACGGGAGGCAGTGGCCAGGTATTGCAAAATGTGCACAGGCTGATGTGTTGACTAACAATGAGGCTCACTGATGACTTAACTGGTGTTCTTGTATTCTGGCAAGAGCTGTTAGCTGTGTGCACATCTGTTCACAGCTGTCAGCCTGTCATTACCCAAGTTTCATAGCCTCAGGGTCTTTTCGCATGTAATTCACCCCAGGCTTGGATATCGCCAGGGCTTTTGTGTGATTCTGTAGAAAAAATGAATACCCTCAAGAGGTGTTAACTAATGAAAGATTTGCCCCACCCAATGGCCATACTAATACATATGCTTTGAATATTCATAGTCTACAGACTGACACTTGGAATACGCAAGTGTTACCCACGTACCTCATATGATTCACTGTTCCATGCAGTGGCACCAGACCACAGCCACAGATAAGATCAAGAGACCTCTACAACCCAGGCTGCGTGCCAGCTGGCTTTATAGCTCTAGCTGTAGAGGCTCCTATACTAAGGTCCTAGGTTCAAATCTGCTTCCCCCCCTCCCCCCCGCATAACAATTCTCTTTGAAAGGTTTCTGACTTTGGCATAAAAAGACTCCCATATTTGGTTTTTCAGTGAAAATCCATTTTTCCCCCTCCAAAACATAACTTTTTTTTGGCAAAATCTACTCTTGTGACAAGCCATTTTCCCTAGAAAAAGATATTTTAATGGGAATTTTTCAACTTGCTCTAATGAGGAGGAGCAGAACAAAATGGCTAGATCATATGCCCAGAGATCTGGCCTCTTGGGTTTTTCTTTCAGCTCTGCCACTCACTTGGCTGTATTTTGGTTAGTCTCAAACATCCCGCAGGTCCACTTGTTGTTTTTCGAGTTACAGACTAATATGGCAGCTCCTCTGAGATTTTTTTTCCCACTGATTGTTCAGCCTTGTGCAACTTACTCTTTCTACACCTAAGTTTACCCACCTGTAAAATAGGGCTAATACTCATATCTGTCTTGCAACCTGCGCTCTGCATTTTGTGTACCTTTTTCCGATTTTTTTTCGAAAGAGGTTTTTCTGAAATTTGGCCCATCTACACTGGGCCAAATTTCGAAAAATCCCCCTTTCAGAAGATTCCTTCTTTCTCGTAGTCACGTGGGGAAAAAAAAAAAAAAAAAAAAAGCACAAAAGCAAATGCATTCCCTGGACATGGAAGAGTTTTTCCGGGGTACTGGAGGTATCCCGAAACCCCCCCGCAGTCTAGACGTACCCTAGATTTTAACTGTACCATACCTGTAGAGTTAAAGTTAAAATCTTGCACCATAGTTGAGTTTAATTGCCATACAGAAGGAATTCTGTGTTCATTTGTACAGCTTTCTGTAACAGAGTCTGCAAATCATTAATTCTTCAGAATCATCTTACCTGATCGGCAGCAGTTACAAAACAGGTGAATGCAAAAGTAGAGGCGACATCTTGAAAATCTAGTCCAGCATGTTGGTCCACAAATCAAACAGTGCTAGACTAGAATTGTATGAATTGCAGGACAATTACGCAAAACAATGCAGCCTTTAGACACTGTGGAATTTTAAAAAACGAAAAAAAAACCATTTGTTTTGACAAACCTTTTTGTTTCCCCCAGGGACTGCACAAAGGGAATTACTTGGGGTGAAGGACTACGAAGTGGTATATCCACAGAGACTACACGTATTGCATAAAAGAGATGCAGCAGGAAACCACAATCCCAGCAATGGGGTAATAAAGGGCGCATTTTTTTATTTGTTTGCATGACAATGGGATAGTTCTGCCTTGGGTCAGAATGTACTTAACTTTCAAGATAAGGTAGATCCAGATACCAGCTCATACTAATGGAAGAGAATAACCAGGCTGCTGAGTCCTTCCCCTGCAAGGGCAGGCCCTGACAGACACACAGAGAAGTAGGTGGCAAAGTGTAAGTGTCCGTCTCCTAGCTCAGCGGTGGGCAATAATTTTTGATGGGGGGGCAACTCCATGAATTTGCTATGAAGTTAAGGGCCGTATTCTTCCATGCTCTTAATGAAGGATGTGTGGCATCTGGGTTGGAGGTTGGGTGCAGAAGGGAGCTCGGGGTAGGGACGGGGTGCAGGGTCTGGGAGGGGATCTGGGTGAAAGAGAGGATTCTGACCTGGAGAAGAAGTATAGGAGAGGGGGCATGGTTTTGGAGGGGGTTGTGACCTGGTGCTGGGGTACAGGATGAGGTGCAGGGGCTTGGGATGTGACCTAGGACAGGAAGGGGTTGTGCCCTGGGGCAGAGTTTCAGGAGAGGGTGCAGGGGGTTGGGTTGGGTTGTGCCTGGGGGCAGGGGATTGGAGTGTAGGACCTGGGAGGGATATGGGTGCACGAGTGAGGGTGCAGAGGGTTTGGGTTGTGACGTGGGGCAGGGGTTCGGAACGGGAGCAGAGGGTTGGGGAAAAAGAGGAGTGGAGGTACCAGAGGAAAGCTCTAGCCAGGAGGAACTTACCAGCATCCCAGCCGGACTCTCAGGCAGGCTCCCTGCATTCCGCACTCCCACATGTCACTCAACGTGTCTGGCTGCGAGGACCATGTGCTCAATGTGGGTGTGTGCTTCACACCCGGGCAGCTCCCATTGGATGGTTTCTGGAAACTGGGCAATGGGAACTGGGAGATTGTGCTGGTCCTGGGGGGGTAGGGGGGGGCAGCATATGAAGCCTCCCCCCAGGGGCTCATGGCACTCAGAGAAGCACACAGTCCCTGACGCTGGCTGATTTGAGTGTCATGTGGGGGCACAGAAGGCAGGGAGGTTGCCTGAGGCCCCTGCTGGTTGGCCGGACCCGGCAGTTTGGTGGGCCGGATCTGGCCCCTGGCCCTAGCACAGCTCATAAGCATATGTTTATTGACAGTGTAAACAAACTCATTAGTCAGCATGAATAGCTCAAAAGTACAGTTCAGTGGATAGTGGAAAACAGCTGAGCAGACCAACCTAGCATTCCAGGGTGCTGAGATTTTAGCTCCATCTCCAAATCTACCTGTCCGGAGGTGGAAGAAACTTGTGGTTAGGGTTCTGGACAGATTCCTAATCCTAGATCTGCCATCAACCTTCAGGCAGATGCTGAGTAAGTCATTTAAGTTCTCTGGTTCTCTCTTTCTCCATCTGTAAAATGGGTCAGTGACCGAGACTGTCCTTTATAAAGTACTTTGAGACCTCGGGTTAAAGGCTCCAAGAAAGGGCAGCATAAGCACATGCTTAATGTTAAGCACTTTCATAATTACCACTACGTAGGCACTGCACAAACAGTGAGTAGTAGACAGTCTCTTCCTCGACACGTTTGCAATCTAATAGACCAGACTGACAAAGGGTAGGATACAGCATACTACTGGGTTCAGTTAAGGCAATTCAAATGCTTGACGTTAAAAACATGCTTGAATGAATAGGGATAGGATTATTCGCATGCTTAAAATTAATCATAGTCTTAAGAGTTTTCAAAACTCGGTCTTAAGTGAAGCATTGTCCCCTACCAAAGTCAGCAGAGATGTACAGGTACCTTTGAGAGCAGACGTTAGATTTTAGAGCTCCATTTATTAAAGTAATTTAAAAACTGATTCAGGTTGAACCTCTCTAGTATGGCGCCCTCAGAACCTGACAGGTGCCGAATTAGAGAATTTGCCGGATTATAAGAAGTCAATATTGTCTAGCAACATTACCGAGGTAAATTAGAGCTAAATAACAGCAGAGTACGACCGAGGTAAATTAGAGCTAAATAACAGCTGAGTACGCTGGTGGCTATAAAACAACTTTATGGGACAGCAGGAAACTTGGCCACACCCACGATAAGTGGACATCTGGCTAACTCAAATCATGCTGGACCACAGATGTTGCCGGATCACAGAGTGCCATACTAGAGAGACTAGTGCCAGACTAGAGAGGTTCAGCCTGCATTTATTTTATAACGACCAGAGGGTTTATTGGCATGGGGAAGTTGGCATCTCAAGACCAGTAAGGCTGCTACTTATTATAACCATCATGATAATATTCCAATATTTGCAGGCGAAATATGATGACAGCATGCAATATGAAATTAAAGTCAATGGAGAGAAAGTGATACTTCATCTAGAAAAAAATAAGTAAGTTCAATCACTTTTCCTTTCTTATAATGTGCTCATTCTGTCGCCCAGATCACTAGAAAGAAGGTGCATAGGATAAAGTTTTCAGAAGCAAATGGGACTTAGGCCCCAAAGACAGAGCAGTATTGGAAGTTTTAAGATCATACTGGTGGCAGCAGAATAAAACCTGAACAGAACAGAACAGATCAGAATGGAACCAGTGGTGCTTGGGTGACACAACCCCGAAACAGATACAAGCCATTGCTAGAATTATAAAGACAAGAAGATATGCCACCCATAGAATGTAGCTGCTGCTGCATTCTGTTGGACTCTAAAACCTTGGTTGCAGCAAACATGACTTGTGATTTAATGGACAGCAAGTCACTTCCCTGATTTGTGCCTCAGTTTTTCTGTGTGTAAACTGGAGAGAATAACACTGACTTACTTTCAGGGACATTTTTCAGGTATCTAAAAGGGTGTCATGAGGAGGAGGGAGAAAACTTGTTCATCTTGGCCTCTAAGGATAGAACAAGAAGCAATGGGCTTAAACTGCAGCAAAGGAGGTTTAGGTTGGACGTTAGGAAAAAGTTCCTAACTGTCAGGGTAGTCAAACACTGGAATAAATTGCCCAGGGAGGTTGTGGAATCCCCATCTCTGGAGATATTTAAGAGTAGGTTAGATAAATGTCTATCGGGGATGGTCTAGACAGTATTTGGTCCTGCCATGAGGGCAGGGGACTGGACTCGATGATCTCTCGAGGTCCCTTCCAGTCCCAGTATTCTATGATTCTATGTTCTTATCAGCCTCTTGTAACTTGAACAATCCAATTCACTATTTTTCCTCTCTTTTTTCTTTCCCCCACCCTCTTCCCCCTTGCCTTCTTTTATTTATTCTTGGATCTGGACTTCTAATACTCCAGTCATCTGAAGAAGTAGATTGTGCCTATGAAAGCGCATACCATCTACATGTTTTGTTAGTGTTTAAGGGGCTGCTAGACTATTTGTTGTTTTTTAATTTTTTTCAGTTACAGACTAACTCGGCTATCTCTCTGAAGCTTCTAGGGATGTTGTGTGTTTGAATTTTTAAAGAATCCTGAGATTCTCAGAAGGAAGAAATTACAAAAATGATAGCTAGATATATAGGATAGCACTGGTTACCCTCTGAAAACTACAGCTACTGTTACTGCCCATTTATAAGTCATACCTACCTCTACTGCTATCTTTGTTCTCTGGCTCTTACCCATTTATCTAAGTTAACCTTTTGTTTATTGTCTGACTCCTAGATTATTGTGAGTCAGGGACTGTCTGTGTGTTATGTTTGTTCTGTGTCTAATGCAGTGGAGCTTTGATTCCTGTTTAGGGGGTGCATGTTCTCTCAGAATGGAAAAATATAAGAAGAGTAATCTGAAGAAACAATCCTGAGGCTATGTCTAGACTGCATCCCTCTGTCGGCAGAGGGATGCAGATTAGGCAGGTCGACATTGCAAATGAAGCGGGGATTTAAATATCCTGTGCTTAATTTGCATAAAAATGGCTGCTTTTCGGCTGACTTAGCACTTTGTTGGCAAAAAGCGGCAGTCTAGAGGGGAATCTGTCGAGAAAGAAAGCCTTTTTCAACAGATCCCTTATGCCTCCTGCAAGGAGAGTTACAGGATCTGTCAAAAAAGGCTTTCTTTCTTGAGAGAGCCCCCTCTAGACTGCCGCTTTTTGCCAACAAAGTGCTGAGTCTGCAAAATAGGCAGCCATTTTTTATGCACATTAAATCCCCACTTCATTTGCAATGTCGACCTGCCTAATCTGCATCCCTCTGCCGACAGAGGGATGCAGGCTAGACATACCCTGATAGTTTACAAGTGATCAGACTTCTAAATTGTGAATTAATATTGCTGGTCCTGGATTTGAATAATATTTCACACAGTATCGGGTACACTAATGGCGTGTGTATTGGGTCAGTATCGGGTACACACCCTATTAGTGTACTCCATACTGAATGAAAAATGAAAAGAGGAAAAAAACATCTGGGACTGGGTGCTTAGTCTATACATATAATGTATGCAAGGCACATACAGAAGAGGCTATAAAACAAAGTATACAATAAACACTACTGGACCGTACACAGCAAACATGAAATAACATGTGCTCATTATTTTGCATTGGCTAAGTGTGTCTTTTGAGTTCTTCATGTCTGACATCATGTCAATTTGTGTCCATTTCAAGTGGTGTGTTTTTAAAGATTGTATAAATATGTTTTACAATGGCAAATGGTTTATATCCACAAACAAATAGAAATGATAAATAAATGTTAGGCCCTGCTTTAACCTAATCAAAATATCTGAAGGCAGCAGAGGGAAAAGAATTGGGAAGCCTTGTATCTGGTAGGTTCCTTTCTTTAAAAATATGGTGGCTCTTTGAAATTGCTCACCGAGATTTGAAACATCGAATATAAGCTGAGGTGACTTCAGTGAGACCACTCTGGTGCTTTGGTGGACTAGGACCAAAGTGCTCGGAAAACTGAAAAATTGAGGCACTGGTGACCAATGTGCAGGCAGAGGTGACTTCAGTGGGTCCACTCTGGTGCTTTGGTGGACTAGGACCAGACTGCTCGGAAAACTGCAAAATTGAGGCATTGGTGACCAATGTGCAGGCGAGCAAGTCAGAATGCAGAATGAATGCAGTGTGGTCAGTGGGTGCTGATTTAAGAGAATGTATTCCAGCGATCTCATGCTCACATGTTTAGTTTCCGAGGGGTAGCGGTGTTAGTCTGTATCTGCAAAAACAACAAGGAGCCTCTGGCACCTTAAGGCACATCTACACAGCAAGCCGTTATTCTGAAATAATTTCAAGATGGCAGACTGCTTACTCTGACTTCTATAACCCTCATTTCACAAGGAGTAAGGGAAGTCAGAGGGAGAGTGTTCTTTCTTCGACCTCCTGCTGTGTTGTCAGCACCAAAAGCTGAATTAAGCTATTTTGACTTCAGCTACGCAATTGACATGTTGAAGTTGCGTAGCTTAATTCAACTTTTGCCCTGCAGTGTAGATGTGCCCTTAGAGACTAACAGGTGTATTTGGGCATAACCTTTTGTGGGTAAGAACCATGTTGTCAGATGCATGGAGTGGAAATCACAGATGTAGGGAGTTGATGGGGAGGTGTGAATAACAAGAGAGTGAAAAATGCCTTTCTAGAGAGAGAACCATTCTAAATCCTTATTCAGTCCTAATTTGATCATGTTAAATTTGCAAATGAATTGCAGCTCTGCTGTTTCTCTTTGTAATCTGGTTTTGAAGTTTTTTGGTAAAAGGATGGCTACTTTTACATCTGGTAGGCCAAGTCTACATTAGACCCAGAAGGTTGGGTTAAGGTACACAACTCCAGCTACGTAAAATACATAGCTGGAGTTGGCTTACCTTAACCCGAGCTTGGGGACATCTTCACAGTAGGAAGCTGATGGGAGCAAATACTCCCATCAGCCTCCTTTACTCCTTGTGACTATGAGGAGTACTGGCGCTGACGGGTACCACCCTCAGCATTCGATTTAGTGGGTCTGTGATGTAGCGGAGGGACGGTCCACTCGCTGGTCGCTATGCTTGGGATGTCGGCTGTGGATGACCCCTACTGGTCTCTGTCTGTAAGCACTGCCCAGCGGGGGGTCGCCCTGAGGGCTCCCATGTCACATCGACAGTGACCCAACCGGAGTTGGGAAGGAGTTGGGACAAAGGAATGGGGTGGTTTGGGAAGAGTCAGTCTTGACTAAAGAAACGTGAAGAGCGGAAACTAAGCAGAGTGCTGGGAGTTGAGGGGCCTATGCACCCCTGCCCAAGGGGGTGAGTTGAGGGGCCTATGCACCCCTACCCAAGGGAGCTGGGGCTGCCAGCCCCTGACTCCTTATGTCCACACCACGTCTATGCTGTGCTGTATGCTGAAGAAACAATAAACCCGTATTCTACTAGCTGGCGGAGTCACATCTTGCTGCTACAGGAGTGCAGGATCAGGGGGTACCCGACACGCCGTCAGAGAGTCTTAACTAGATCTGCTAAATTGAATGCCAGAAGATTGATCTCCAGCACATCAGTGGAGTTGTGGCCTTAGTCAGTGTCCAGGGAGGTTACAGTGTTCTCCTGCTGGTTTTTGTGTGTTGCCTTTCTTGATGCCTGATTTGTGTCTATCCTTTGATGCGGAAACTGTCCAGTTTGGCCAATATATACGGCAGAGGTGTTTGACTATTTTTGCATCTACATCTTTTGCATACATACATCTTTCTAAATACAGATACATTAAGAGGGGGAAAACAATCACCCTTAACAGCAAACCAAGTACTGTATGGATTTTTCCACGGGTTAAAGTTTGACAAAGTTATGAATAACTGCAAACAGAGGGTAATAATCCAAAGCATTGATTAGTCCCTAAATGTATGTGTGTCTGTACATAGGTGGGCCTGATCTTTCATTGCTCTGCATGTTAGTCAAAGTAGGTGTAAAGGACTATTGCATCAAAATAACAGGATTTCACACTCACTTTCTTTGGACTCATACAAATTACTGCCCAAGGTATAACCCAAGAAAGAATCAGCCCCACAACTGTAGTTAAAAAATTGTATGGTCTTATACTATCAGGAAGTTATTTTATATTAATACAAGAAATGGACATGAGTTTTACTTTAGAAATCCCCCTTTGTTTGGATAAGGATTGTGAAGACGCCTAATTGTCCAGCAGCCTCGTTTCTCTAGTCTTTTGATGCTAAAAATATCACTGTGCTTGCTAGTGTTTCCAAAATGGTTTGAACCTCATTACATAGTTACTCCGTCCCTTGATTACGCCAGCAGAATTATTAGCTTGAATAACAGGTCCATTGTATTCTTTCCAGGGATCTGTTTGCCAAGGATTACTCTGAAACTCATTACTCACATGATGGTCGAGAAGTGACCACAAGCCCTGAGGTCAAGGTAACACATGAAGGCTCTTCTGCACATGTATAATCACGTGGCATTCAATGTGGGATTCGCAAGTATGCGAACAACAGCACAATCCCCTCGTTAATGGAAGACTTAGGTCCAGATCCTAAGCTTATATAAATTGGTAGAGGGTCACTGGCCTGGATGATTGAGCGGGTGTTTCTGACCTCAATGAGATTACACCACTTAAGAATCTGAACCATAGTTTTCTTTGCAAAAAAGAAAACATTTTGCATGTTGATAGCTGATGAATACCTTCTCACCCCGGCTGACCAGCTGGAATTCCCAATGGGCCCTTTTGAGACTAAGTATCTATGGCTTGATACCACATAACTTTGCTCCTTTTGTGAAACTTTCATTATTCATTTTAAGAGCGTTATCTCAGGGAGATCATGAAATGAGATAAACACACCTACACTAACTCTGCCTCCCACCCACACAGTAGCTGTATTAATGTATTACAGGTTATACCAGCTGGCTTCTTTAGACCATGACAAATGAGTTACTCAGTTATAAGCACAAAGGCAGTCACTGTATAAGTTCTTTTTTTAATTAACTATGTTTGTGGGTCTTGACCCAGTGAACTACAAAAAAGCTCCTAATTTAAGGCTTTGTTCATTGTATGCATTTTAGCAATTACAATTTGAAATGCAAAAATAAATATTCTTTGTCTGGAGAAAGCAAAAGAAACAATAGAAATGTGGCTCAATAAAATCTGTGTAAGGACTTCAGGATTTCTCTTACAATTACAGAAGCTATTCCTCATTGTTCTGTTTCTTTCTCTCACCAAATGAAAGCTTGCATTTGGTTAAAGATTATTCCAAACACGGTCTGCCAAACAGACAACTCTATCTGACACGCTGTATGACTGAGGAACTCCAGCTTTGCTGACACTTCTTAGTGGTCAAACATTTTTTCAGCTTAATTTGCATCAGCATGAGGCCTGCAGCAATTGTTCATTATTTTCTCAAATAATGTTCCTTTCGTCAATGTTTCTTTCTTTGTAAAGAAGCTGACGTATGATGATGAGTGGGTGCTAAATGGTAATGTGAAACCCAACATCCGCATTCAATAAAAGAAGTATGCTCAGATGGGGGTTTAAATGCTGTTTTCTAAGCCCCTATTCAAGCAAGTAGTCAGCGTAACATTTTTAAAAGCACCCATTGTAGAGTTGCCAGGTGTCCGGTATTGAACTGGACAGTCTGGTATTTTCACCTCCTGTCTGGTAAAAAATTCAGAAAATACCAGACACCTAAAATGTCCGGTACTTTCTGATTTTTTCCCAGCCAGGAGGAGAAAATCCCAAGCTGTCCAGCTCAATACAGAGGCAGCCTGGCGACCCTAGTGCTGACCGGGGAGCTGTCAGGCCTGGTGCAGGGAGGCAAGATGGCGGGTGGCCGTCAGCAGACTGTTAGGGCCAAAAAGCCTCACCGCACAGTTTTTAAAGGGGCCACGGTGGTTTTTTTTTTCTGCTTAACAACTCACAGGGTCCTTTTTTGTTGTTGTTGGGTATTTTTTCTGAAACCATCTGGCGACCCTACACCCATGTGAGGTAGTCATTCCATTGAACCCACTCGGCACCCCTGGAATTTAGATCCCTAAAACACTTGGGCCTCCTTTAAAAGGTTATCCTCAAGCATATGTTAACTTTTAACCATATTCTTAGCTTCAACAGGACTTCACAGGACTTAATCATGTTAAAACTAAGCATATAATTAAGTGCTTTGCTTCACTGAGCTCACAGTGAAAGAATATAATTTGGCCCCCTAATTCTGCAACGTATTTAAGCCTGTGCTTAACTTTAAGTATAAGAGTAATCCTCGCCCTGATTCCACATTTAAGCTCATGCTTAACTTGGAGAGCATGGGAAACACATGTTTAAAATTAAAGGCAGAAAAAAAGATTTTGCTGAATAAGGGCAATTAGAGGGCAAATTAGAAGGCAGCTGTAAACCACTGGAAGATCCTTCCATGGAGGAGAAAGCCCACACTGCTTTGACTTGCCAAAATTAGGGTACCTTTGTGCCAACAGACCAACAGAGAGCTGCTATACCTGGGAATTGTCACCTTCTATAAGTCATAATTTCCCTTTGGAAATGTAGACAATTACAGTAAACTTCCAATAATCCGGCACCTTTAGGACCCCGGGGGATGCCGGATTATCAGATATGCCGGACTATCAGAAGGGGGGGCTATGAGGGGTCTGGGGTGGAGTGGGCGGGAGGGTGATCAGTTTCAGCAGTGGCTGAATCGGAAGACGGGGGCAGAGCAGCTCTAATTGTCCGGCTGCCTGGGGCACTTCCGGGTTCCATATGGTGCCTGACCATCAGGAGTGCTGGACCATTGGAGTTTTACTGTACATGTTGGTTGTGAGGGTTCCCCCCCTTCCCCTGGAATTTAAATAGGACCTCTGTGTTGGCTGCCTTATTCTGAATCCAAGAAGACTTTGAGTTTAGTCAGCTGCTGCTGAAACTGACCAGCGGCTGAATCGGGGAAGGTGGGGGCAGAGCAGCTCCAATTGTCTGGCTGCCCAGAGCACTTCCGGGTTCCAGATAGTGCCGGACCATCAGGAGTGCCAGACCATTGAATACCGGACCATTGGAGTTTTACTGTAACATGATTTTAGAGCAATTACCCATTTCCTTTCTGACCAGAACATTGTTACTCAGATTCTACTATGTATTTAAGAGAGTTTGCTTGTTTGTTTGTCTGTTCAAGAATTCTTCCTGAATGGCCAGAACTAGGAACACCACATTCAGTAGACAGCTTCCTCTTACCATAACTCAAAGCAATGGAAGGGTCTGGTTGTTCCCGGAAAATGGGATGTGCCTTGAATAGGATTGCGTCTCAAAATATCATACAGAAAAGAAACAGACTCACCAGGGAGGTGAAAGAGGCTGGCTGGGACTGCGCCCACCTGCCATTCAAGACTACCCCAGCCTTGAATCTCCAAATTCCCAGGAGCCTGTTAGGGAGGGTGTGGGAGGTTGAATTCCACCAGTTCCCTCTGGGTATGTCTACACTACCCTCCTAATTCAAAATAGGAGGGTAATGTAGGCATACCGCAATTGCAAATGAAGCCCAGGATTTGAATTTCCCAGGCCTCATTTGCATAAAGCCGGCCGGCGCCATTTTTAAATGCCGGCAGTTCGAACCCCGTGCCACGCGGCTACACGCGGCACGGAGTAGCTAGTTCAGATTAGGCTTCCTAATCCGAACTAGCTGTACTCCTCGTGGAATGAGGAGTACAGCTAGTTCGGATTAGGAAGCCTAATCCGAACTAGCTACTCTGTGCCGCGTGTAGCACGGGGTTCGAACTGCCGGCATTTAAAAATGGCGCCGGACGGCTTTATGCAAATGAAGCCCGGGAAATTCAAATCCCAGGCTTCATTTGCAATTGCAGTATGCCTACATTACCCTCCTATTTCGAATTAGGAGGGTAGTGTAGACATACCCTCAGAGTCATACAGGGATGTTGCTGGCTGTTTTCTTTTATCATGGAGCGAGGGGGAAGCGCACAGTTTGCTGCATTCCTCACTCTGGCTGAGAAGCACAGGGGGAACACGAACCTGGACCTGCCCCAGCCAGGAGACATACATCCCTCCCCCCGCTGTGCCCACTGGAGCTTCAGTGGCCATGGAGAGGCACTTCTCACCTGGCCCAAAACTGCTGTGGTAAGAGAGAGCTGGGGTTGTCCTTTCTCCCCAGGGCCAGCCTGCATCCTGAACCCCTCATCCCCAGCCCTGCCCCAGTGCAATGATTTTAAATGAAGCCTGGACAATTTCATTTTATGTTCATATATATATGCTCACAAATATATATATATATATTGAGTTAAGGATCTGCCAGATAAATCTTCTAGTTGGATATAAAACAAAAGTGACAATATTCTGAGACAAATGATCATCTCTCCATGGGACACAGCCTCAGATCACGTAATAGAACATAATGCTACTGATAAGCCAGCTCAGACCAGCTGACCACCTGGCCCAATGTGACAACTGATCATTGTTTCCTAACAGGACCACTGTTTTTACGACGGTCACATCCAAAATGATAATGACTCAGAAGCAAGCATCAGTGCCTGCCGTGGTTTGAAGTAAGATTGTTGCTAATGGTCTTCCTAGTGTAATGATACAAGACTTGTTGTTCGCTTGACATTTATTGACAGCCCCAATTGCATCCAGTGTGATGAATTAGCAAGATCTTAAAAGTTTAGCTCTATAAGGGCAAAATCAAAGTGAAAATGGGCATGGGTAGTTATCCTATATATCTACTTCTGAGGTAAACTGTTTATAAAGAAAAGGGAAAGGAATAAGCAAAACCCAGCAATTATATGGAGGAAGTGCAGTTGCATATTTTCACTCTCGTTCTAATACTAAAGAGGAAACTAAAGGAACCCCCCCTACGTGATGAAGGAAGTTATGTTAACAATTTGGCCAGAGGTGCCAAATCTTCTCATTCAATCTGAACCCGTGCTTGTGTTAGGTGGAACTGTGAGACCCAATCTTTTGCAAAAGGCAATCCATTTAAAAAAATCTGTCCTTTATAACCATTAAAGATTCCATTGCATCTTTTGATAGGCTGGGAACATTAGCATCAGGGCTGGTCAAACAATTTTTAAAGAAACTGCGCTGGCAGAAAATGGAGTTTCATCCATATAGAAATTTTCTGGGGGAAAAGATGACTTTCTAATCAGCAGAGTTCTGTCAGCAATATCTCGACAGAATGTTTTCCTTCAGTTTAACACACTGACACGAAAACATTCTAATTTCAGAATGTGAGCACATTTTGTTTTCATCGCCAATGTCAAAACAAAACAATTTGACATTTCCAATTTAAAATGATTCAGAACTTTTCATTTTTATATTTTAACTTTTCTTCTTGGTTTAGAAAGAAAACAAATGTCTGAATACCAACATTGCCCATCAAACCAAAAGTCCATTTCTCAGTCAGATCTCATGGGTACAAAAATCATGAACAAAATTCTGCTCAAACTTAATTCCAGTTTGAGTAATTTTACATCTCTAGTCTAATTTCCCCTGGAATTTCAGGTTCTGGTGGCATTCTTTACTTCCAATTTTAAGCTGTTGTGTATTGTATCTGAGAGCTATTAAAATTCTACGGTGTACCATTACAGTAGGTGTACAAATGTGAGTTATTATTCTGAGAAAATCCAATGAGTTCTCAAAGACCCTTCATTCTAATCTGAAGGTTTTAAAACAATGTTTCACAAGCAGCTTGCTTTGTCGACAGAACTGAATGTAGTGTAGACGCTCTTTGTCGACAGAAGCTTTGTCGACAGTATCTGTCGACAAAACTTCTGTCGACAAAACTCTGTAGCCTAGACGTACCCTTAATTCCAGTTTGAGTAATTTTACGTCTCTAGTCTAATTTCCCCTGGAATTTCAGGTTCTGGTGGCATTCTTTACTTCCAATTTTAAGCTGTTGTGTATTGTATCTGAGAGCTATTAAAATTCTACTGTGTACCATTACAGTAGGTGTACAAATGTGAGTTATTATTCTGAGAAAATCCATTGAGTTCTCAAAGACCCTTCATTCTAATCTGAAGGTTTTAAAACAATGTTTCACAGAGGATATTTCAAGAGGCGTGGTCAAAGATACCTCATCCAACCCATGAAGCTCACAGACAGTGAGGAACATGCAGTTTTTAAATACGAAAACCTGGAAAATGTGGAAGACCCAAAAACTTGTGGCGTGACCAACACTACGTGGGAATTGGAAGATCCTATCAAAAAGTCCTCTAGATCAAGCACCAGTCTAGAAGTGAGTACTGAGCTGATGATAAGTGAAATCCCTATGAACATTTCTAAGAATCAGTTTTTTTGTGATTCTGGCATAAAGGGGTGAATTGCAGCATGATTTGAAAATTAATAATCCTATCGAGAAGTATAATGTGAGACAGGATATTAGGTATAATTAGGGAGTCATTTGAAATAGAGGCAATCTGTGTTTCATGTTCTGTATGCTGGTTAACTTCATGAGGGAATTCTTTGCTCATAAAACTAAATAGGTCCTTCATTAAAGCAACTATTTATAGAGATTCTTCAACCTGGACTAACATTCCAGCCGTGTGCACACAGACCGACTCCTGATACTTGCTCCGAACTCCAATCTGTGTTCCTCCCTCCAAGTTCCATGCAGGTTGCTACACTGTATATATTGTTGGTTTTAGTTGGGACCCATAGCTTAGAAAGGGAGGAAAACATGATGGCTGCGTCTAGACTGGCAAGATTTTCCACAAAAGCAGGTGCTTTTGCGGAAAAACTTGCCAACTGTCTACATTGGCCGCTTGAATTTCCACAAGAACACTGACGATCTCATGTAAGAAATCAGTGCTTCTTGCAGAAATGCTATGCTGCTCCCATTCGGGCAAAAGTCCTTTTGCGCAAACGGGCCAGTGTAGACAGCTCAGATTTGTTTGGTGCAAAAAAGCCCCAATTGCGAAAATGGCGATCGGGGCTTTTTTGCGCAAAAGTGCGTCTAGATTGGCCACTGATGCTTTTGCGCAAAAGCGCCTTTGCGGAAAAGCGTCCGTGCCAATCTAGATGCTCTTTTCCACAAATGCTTTTAATGGAAAACTTTTCCGTTAAAAGCATTTGCGGAAAATCATGCCAATCTAGACGTAGCCGATCTGTTTTGAGTTAATTTGGTTTTCAATCAATACAGGTAAAATCCTAAAGTCAGTCTCAGCAAAATGGGCCTGATTTTCAGTCACAACTCAAACATCAGAATCAGTCCCTATTCATGAAAAATCTGCACATACACCCCAATTACAGGTGAAGCACCCCCAATTTAACATGCAAATATTGCACCTGCAAATACACACTTTGCCCATGGAAATTGCCCACTTTACACGTACACTTTGTGGGCATTTTGAAAATTTGGCTCCTTACAGGTATACATTTTTAATGTATGAAATTGCATGTATAAAATGTGACTCAAGCTGCTGAACTCTGTACACAGCTGGAGGCAACTCAATTTATCTTTCATTTATAGTTGCAAAAGCATTGTGCAATGTTAATTAATGTAGCAGCAGGCAGCTTTAAACACAAATAAAGGCAAATTCTGCCTGCAGGTACAGGCATAGAATTGACAGTGGAGAATCAATGAATCGAGTAGTTTACCCACTATAGACCTGAATATCATTGGTCGATAGGAGCTGCACATTGATCTAAGGTCAAAAGTTAGTTAATTTCAATTTTTTAAAAAAGAACTATGGGCCAGATTTACAAAGATTTTTAGGCTTAGTTAATGGGAGTTAGGTGCCAAACAATATCAATGAGAATTGAGTACTCAGCTGACTTAGGCTACATTTACACTACTGCCCCGATTAATGCTCTGAGATCAATTCACTGGCGGTCAATATAATGGGTCTAATTAAGACCTGCCAAATCGACTGCAGATCACTCTCTTGTCAACCCTGTTACGCTACCCTGGATGAAAAGTGGAAGGAAAGTCTTAAGGAAGAGGAAGGGAAACTCTTACATCAATTCCCCACAGTGTAGTGCCCACAGAAATCCGATTTAGAGTGTGTCTTCTCCAGCCGCGTTATTCACATAGCTGGATTTGCATAGCTTAAGTCAACTTTGTCTTGTAGGGTCGATGTAGCCCCAAACGCTTTTGTAAATTCTGCTAGGTCCCTGTCTGCATCTTTAGGCACCTTTGAAAATCTGGCCCTTAGTGTCTCGACTGTAAACTGGGAATGGCAGCATTTCACTTTCAGGAACTTTGAGAAAACATGCGATTATAAAATAGTCTTTTTGAATCTACAGTGGGTGGATTGGAACAGGTCGTAACCATGTTTTGCAAAATGTTTTTCATAGAAACAAGAGTACCTGAAAGCAAGGAAGTACGTCGAAATCTACATAGTTGTAGACAACGCTGTGGTGAGTACCCAGACAAACATTTTTCATTTTACCTCTAAAACAGTCACTCTGGATTAGATTTTCCAAAGCCTTCCACACGGGCTTTGCTGTACTCCCATTGTGGTAAACGGAAATACGATCCTTGATGTCCAGGAAGGGCGAAGTTAAGCCATCTCTGAGCAAGGAAGAGCTTGTCCTAGGAAGATTTGAACTGGACAATGGATAGTAAAATAAATGTCTCAAGGAAGACCAATTGGCCTTTTGGAGGGCAAAAATGTATGTGTATGGCCTGGTTCTCTGTGGCCCTGCAGCTAGCGTGAGATCCTTATCCACATGCCATATCTAGTTGCACCACCTAAGAGTACTATGGCACTTAAAATCCCCAGTTCTGGCTATGGGCAGGTTCCCCTAGAGCAGGCATTGAGGAAGGCTGTAAGCCCCACTGTTTATGGGCCAGGGCAAGTTTGTAAAGCTGCTTTCTGAAGAGCCTCCATTAGCCCTGGCATAGGGGGTGTGCTGGGGCAGGGCTGTAGGCATGGGTAGTGGGTGAAGGTAGGGCTGGGGGAGGCAAGCCCCAGCCTTCCTGGTCCAAGACCATGGGCGCGTAGGTCAAGAACACTCAGCTTCCAGTATGCAAATAGGCATTCTGGGGGGCGGAGAATGGGCAGAGCCAGGATACCAGGCATTCGGGAGCAGACAGGATCAGCAAAGCTCAAAGGTGACTTAGCCACCGTAATCCTCTCCATCCCCCTGCCTGCCGTTCTGTGTTGTGCCTCTAAGGGGCTCAAGGCAGGGTACCACTTGAGCCAGCTGGTAAGAGGAGTAGGTTGTCACCCTCTATGAGGACCAGCCACATGACACACTTTGACCCTGATCCCCCAAGCTGCTCCACACAAGGAAATCTCTGTGCCCATGTGGAACCCCGATTTACTTTGGTGGGACTCTCTGGAAGGCTAGAGAGCCACATATGCAGAGCAGTGTGCAAGGTCAACTCATTAGCCTATATGCTGCCTGACCGCAATCGCTTCCCAGCCCCACCCCTTCTGCCTGAGACCCGCCCATTCCAGGGCACAGAACAGGACTCCCCTGTCTTGCCCAGGGGCCTGGAAAGGTTTATTGACTAGGGCAGATTTGCAGATTTAAAAAGTTGATTTTGAGTATGGAGCATAATAATCAAGCAGTTACACAACCCTCTGTGTAGGTAAAATATGATTATGGTAAAAGGGGCGTGATCCTGCAAACACTTACATCTGCACTAAACATTAAGCACAAGAGTAGTCTCAGTTGCAACCAATGGGCTTAATCTTAAGCAATCTGTGTTTGCAGGATCAGGCCCCCAGCTGATCCTATTTCTCATCTACACATTCACGCTCATCTCCTCTAAAATCCACTGGACCCAGTCCTCTGAAGTTAACAGAGCTGCTGCCTTGCAGACGAATGTGTTTCCATTATCTAAACCAGAAAAGAGCCGGAAAGGTGAATCATCTTGGCACAAAATATAATGAACAAAAACTGAACCCATTTTATTTAAAATCATTGTTTTTTCCCTATCAGCATATTTTCTAAGAAAAGGACTCTATTTGGTGATGTGAAAGTTCTATCATATGACCCAGTTTTCGGGGGAAGTTTACTCAGCCTGAAATATTTGCCAACGGCAGAAACTTGACATCAACCCAGGAGCAATCTCTTTTAAACTCATTTCCATTAAACCTGCTATTAACATTTTTTTTTTTTTAAGATTCTAAGGGCCTCCTTCTCATTTGTACTAAGACCTCTTTACACCACAGTGGAAAGAGGCTTTCGAGTGACTGGAACTGTATTTTACACCTATTCTAAGGCTCCTTCTTCTGCCAGACCAATGCAAAGGGGCTTTAATGTTAACCAAACCCTAAAAGGACAGGAATAAACTCAGATCTGTAGGAGTTTAGGCTACTTCATTGCCCTTCTAACATGCCACAAATCTGATTCTTCCTCACTTATGTAAATTAGGATTAAACCAACTGAAATCAGTGGAGTTACCCTAGTAAAAAATGGATTTCACTTGTGATCAGAATCAGGGCCTGTGAGGGTACCTTCTGTGTTAGCACACAAAGCACTACCAGATGTTAAGCCCATCCAAAGCTTGTTGAAATCAAGGAAAGTCTTTTCACTGACTTTGGATCAGACCTCACAGTTATTATGAGAGGTAATCCCAAATGATTTCATATTAATAAACACATGGGCTGCATCTAGACTGGCAAGTTTTTCCACAAAAGTAGCTGCTTTTCCGGAAAAACTTGCCAGCTGTCTACACCGGCTGCTTGAATTTCCACAAGAACACCGACGATCTCATCTAAGATTGTCAGTGTTCTTGCAGAAATACTATGCTGCTCCCGTTCGGGCAAAAGCCCTCTTGCACAAAAAAGCCCCGATGGCGAAAATGGCGATCAGGACTTTCTTGCGCAAAACCGTGTCTAGATTGGCATGGACGCTTTTCCACAAAAAGTGCATTTGCGGAAAAGCGTCCGTGCCAATCTAGACGCTCTTTTCCGCAAATGCTTTTAACGGAAAAACTTTTCCGTTAAAAGCATTTGCGGAAAATCATGCCAGTCTAGATGTAGCCTTACAGGAATGCTACACTTGATAGTAAGTGTTTGCAGGCCCCTTAGGGTAAGCCCGCCCGACCCTGAGACTTGACAAGTCTAAGCTGTAGTTCCAGCCACAAAGTCCACACTGCTATTTTTAACATACTAGCTCAAACTCCACTAGCATTAGTTCATTTGTCTGGGCTGGGAGAGTCAGGCCGGGTCTATGCTGGCAGAGAAAATACGCAACTCCAGATATGTGAATTGTGTAGCTGGAGTCAATGTATCTTGCATCAGTTTTCTTGGGCAACCCTACAGCGGGAGGTTGACAGGAGAAACACTCCTGTTAACTTCCCTTACTCCTCACGACAGCAAGGAGTATCATGGTCAATGGGGGGTGCTCTCAGCATGCAATTTAACAGGTCTTTACTAGACCTGCTAAATCAAACCTCAGAAGATTGATTGCCGGTACGTCGATCCTTTGGTAAGTGGAGACGTGACCTCACTCTAGCTGCAGTGTAGACAGACCATTATACATTTTCACAGTAAATATCCTAGTCACTTGGCGCCGTGATTTAAAAGTCAAAAGGCCTAATCCATAGCAGATACAACTCAGCATTGATTTCAATGCTGAAGTTCTGGCTTAATATCGAGAACAGTCAGTATCAGCCAAAGAAAACCAAAAATGGGGGACAGGATTTGAGGCCGAGTTCTTGACCTTTTGGTTCCCAACCTACCGTATTGCACTTGCAATAACGAAGGTGTAGCAGGCAGCAGTACCGATAGTGCTATATGTGGTTGTGAGTAGAAAAGAGACAAATACGGGAGCAGAGGGGTGGTAATTAAGGATGTAAGCGACTAGTCGACTACCCGGTAAGTTGAGTAAGAACTTAACTAGTCTCTTCCCCCTCCCCTTGTTGCCTCTACTCTGCTACATGCTCATGCCGCTGCCCCCTGCTTCCTCTGCCCCCCACGGAGACGGTGCTGGTTTCCCTCAGCACCGGCTTGTTCTCTATCAGAGAGAGGCAGCAAGTGGGGGAGTACACGCCAGTGCTGGGGGGAACTAGCTTAAAAGCTGGTTCCGCCCAGAACCCTCTCCGTGGGGGACAGGAGAAGCAGGGGGCAGCGGCATGAGTGGATATTGAAACAGTCCCGCTTGCGCCAGTCCCACTCCTGCTCCTCTCCCTTTGGAATGTACAACAGATGCTTGCAAAGGATGAGGCGCAGGGGGGAACCTGGGCCAGCAGGGACTGCTTTGCTCCCGCTGGGTTCCCGCGGGCTTTTTCCCTTTCAAATATAGAAGAGCCGCAGGCGTCTCTTGTACATTTCAAAGGGAGAGGGGCAGTGGGATAGTAAGCGCCCCCCTTATCGACTAATCAAGTAGTCAATGGGAATTCCACTGACGACTCGATTACCTGATTAATCAAAATTTAACATCCCTAGTGGCAATAAGATTGAGGTCTGTAAAATTATGAATTGGGTGAAAAAGTATATAGAGAAATGTTATTTACCCTTTCACGTGATACTAAAACTAGGGGTCATCTGATTAAATGCTGAGTAAGTTTAATAAAAACAAGAGGAAGCACTTTGTCCACACAATGCATTGTTATCCTGCGGAACTCACCGCCATGGGATGTTGTGATGGCCAAAAGTAGAACTGGGTTTAACAAAGAATTGGATAAATTCATGGAGGAAAGATCCCTCCATGGCTGTTAGCCAACATGATGAGAGATGCAACCTCAGGCTCAAAACCTGGCTGCCAGAAACTGGGAGTGGAAAACAGCAGGGGATTCATAATTGCCCTGTTTGTACATGCTCACTGAAACTCTCCTACATGCCAGGGTTAGAGACAGGAGATGAACCATGATCTGATTCAGTATGGCAGTTCTTCTGTTCTTACCACCACTAGCTGCTCTCAAATAGCTATTCACTTCTCAACGATAAATGGGTGAAATTCACTGCTGTGGAGACCGGCAATACTATTTTCTGGTACAGTTTTATCTGAGATGCTTCAGGTCTTTTCCACCAATGCCTGTCTTTTCCACCCTTATCCAGTTACTGAAGCTTTCATATTTATTTTTGCAGTACAGGAAGTACAACCACAACATGACGAATATAAGAACACGAGTATATGAAATAATCAATTACATCAACGTGGTAAGCTCTGTTATTGTTATGTAAAAATGCTACTGGATTGATTACATTGTACAGTCTTAGAAATTTTCTGCAGTTACACCTGGAAAAGAATGAAGAGAATTGGACCTGCTGGCATTTACAAAAGAGTGACTAAACAAGAAATAAAGGACCAAAAAGATGGAAAAAATAAAATAAGAATCGGCACCTTCACATCTATAAAAGCAACAGAACCACGAGATCAAATTAATCAATTTTCCTCAAAGGCCACAATGGTTTGGATGAAAACAAGTATAGCCACTGAGTCTAATTTTCTCCTTCTGTATACTTTGCACAGTTTATTTACACGAATGCAAATGGGTTATGAAAGGCTGCAAAATCAACATGGGGGGTTACTCCAACTTTGCACTCAAGCAAATTACTACACAGGGTCAAGTTAGTGGCAAATCGTGCTTGAGTAAAAGATAAAATCAGAATTAACTTTACAAAGGTCATTTTTTAAAAGTAAAAGCGTCTCTCAAAGCCTTCCCAATTTCCATCAATTTTTTCAAAGAAAATCTTCCTTAAGAGGAATCTCTATGCCAAGTTTCTTAGGCCTGGTCTACACTAGACCAGGCTGGATGGCTTATGGTATGCCATCCGGCTATTGAAAATAAGTACCTGGATTTGGCTTACATTAAGCTGAGCTACCACAACAACTACAAGTTTGGAAGGCTGGCAGGAGAACATCCTCCCATCAGCTTAGAATCATAGAATCTTAGGGCTGGAAGAGACCTCAGAAGGTCATCAAGTCCAGCCCCCTGCCCAAAGCAGGACCAATCCCAACTAAATCATCCCAGCCAGGGCTTTGTCAAGCAGGGACTTAAAAACCTCTAAGGATGGAGACTCCACCACCTCTCTAAGGAACCCATCCCAGTGCTTCCCCGTCCTCCTAGAGAAATAGAAGAGCAACCTGCGGAGGGTCGATCTTTTCCGTAGTGTAGACTCACCCTAAGTTATTATAAAGTTCGGCTCCAATCCTCAAAATGGTTTTGAAAGTGCTTAACTTTTAAGCAGGTGGTAGTTCCATTGAACTCCATGTGCCTGATGCTCATTTACAGTAATGCTTCGTTATATTGCTCTTATAGCAATGGTGGCAAATGGCAGCCCAAGAGATATTTTATTTACCATTGCCCACGTGCAGGGTTGCAAATTTCCTCTGGTTTTCTGTGTGTAGATTTTGTTCCTACCTGTATTACTAAAGGGACACACACCTCAAGCAAGGGGTACGTCATGTGAGGCGTGTGTCTGATTGCTCACAACACTGACTGTGAGAACCGTGTGCTCCTTCTGCATCCAAAGTGCTGCTATGGTCCAGTTGGAAAATTGCCATGACAATTTCAAAATGTGACAAATCTTGAAAGTTTCTTCAGCTATTCAAAAGTGGGTGGGAAGGAATTAAAAAATGTTATTATTTCTGATTGGTTTAAAGTTTCAAACTTCACTGGAATCTCAGAATTCAGAAAAGTTCATCTAGTTTTAGAAATGGCCAAATGTTACATGATTAAATAATCACTCATTATCAGAGCTAGTTCCCTTTATACAGAATTATAAGTGACTTACTTCCTCTGGCCACAATGTCTCCTTCCTGCAGGTTTATAAAGCCATAAACGTTCACGTGGCTTTGATTGGTCTAGAAGTCTGGACATCTGGGGATCCGTTCATTGTGAGCTCTTCAGCAGGCACCACATTAGACAAATTCTCAGAGTGGCGTCAGTCGAATCTGCTGAAGCGAAAGACGAACGACAACGCTCAGTTACTCACGTATGCATCATATCCTTTCCCATTTATATTTCCAAATACGCCAGAAGAATTTTTACCCAGAAACTTGTTTACAAAGATAACCAGAGATGCAGTCTTTAAGGATGTGTCTACACTGCACTGTAGCTCAAAATAAGATACTTAATTTGAGCTATGCAAATTGCGTATCTTATTTTGATCTTATTTCAAAATGGCTTATTTCGTACTTTGGCGCTGTCTACACAGTGCCAAATTTCAAAATAAAGCGCTATTTTGAAACATCCCTTACTCCTCGTGGAATGAGGTTTACAGGGACATTCAAATAGTGAGCCCGAAATAACCGGTCTCCTTTTAAGACATGGGATAGCTATTTTGGGATACTCCGGTATCCCAAAATAGCGTTGCAATGTAGATGTAGCCTAAGAGTCCTAGGTTGTGTCTAGACTGGCAAGTTTTTCAGCAAAATCATCTGATTTTGTGGAAAAACTTGCCAGCTGTCTACACTGGCCATTTGAATTTCCGCAAGAACACTGACGATCTCATGTAAAATCATCAGTGTTCTTGTGGAAATACTGTGCTGCTCCCGTTCGGGCAAAAGCCCTCTTGCGCAAATCATTTGCACAAGAGAGCCAGTGTAAACAGCACAGTACTGTTTTCCGAAAAAAAGCCCCGATCGCGAAAATGGCGATCAGGGCTTTTTTGCGGAAAACCGCATCTAGATTGGCCATGGACGCTTTTCCACAAAAAGTGCTTTTGATGATGGGCCTGAAATACAGAGCTCAGAGGCAGATTCTAATCTGAATCCAAACTTGCCTAATTGTATAGTCAGTGGAACTTAAGCACATACCTGGAGTTAAAAATGTCCTGAAGGGGTTTGCTAAATCAGGATTAATTTAATCATATGCGTAAAGGCTTTGATAAATCTAGTCCTGAAGAGAAGGGGGTAAATTACTTAAAATGCTTAAAATTGAACCTGTGCTTAAGTGCTTTATAAAACTGGGGCTATTATAAAGATATCTTTAAGCTGCAAATTTGGAATTTGTATACAAAATTCAGGATTATTCAAATACAGTGTCCAATGTGCGATCACAAGGGAGATATTCGAAAGTTCCATATAAGGGATAGGTGCTTAAATCCCACTGAAGGCCAATGGGAGTAGGGGTCCTAACTGATACTTGTGCTCTTGAAAGTCTTTCCCATCTTGTACTGGCCCTAAGGGGACTGTGCCTAAGGCAACCTGCCAGTCAATAAATAAAACCATCAGCACCATCATCAGGTTTGCACCCTTGTGACAGACCATAGAATCATAGGACACTAGAACTGAAAGGGATCTTGAGAGGTCATCGAGTCCAGTCTCCTCCCCTCACGGCAGGACCAAGCACCAGCTACATCACCCCTAATAGATGTCTATCTAACCTGCTCTTAAATATCTCCACTGATGGAGATTCCACAACCTCCGTAGGCAAATTATTCCAGTGTTTAACCACCCTGAAACTTAGGAAGTTTTTCCTAATGTCCAACCTAAACCTCCCTTGCTGCAGTTTAAGCCCATTGCTTCTTGTCCTGTCCTCAAAGTTAAGATCACTGGGATTCATGCTGTGTCTCTTTGCTTCCTTACAGAGGGATTGACCTGGAAGGCCCAACAGTAGGACTGGCCTTTGTGGGAACCATGTGCAGTGTTACTCATTCGTCAGGCATTATTCAGGTCTGGTTGTTTTTTTCACAGTTGGGTTACATGTCACCAGCACGCAATGGCCATTGGATTTTTTAAACAGCAGCATGATTTGGAGTACATTTCCTTGGTGCACCAGGCTGGAGAAAAACATACAGAACGGTTTATTTATTTATATACACTAATATAAGGGAATCCAAGGGACAGCAGAATGGGGATAAATGATGGAATCCGAATGCCCCAAATTGTAGTGAGCATCTTAAATTAAGGATGTTAAATATCGACTAATTGATTTATCGAATAGTCAATGCATTTTGCATTGACTATTTGATTAGTTGATAGGGCGCTTCTGCCTTTGATGTGTAGCAACAGCCCAAGGGAGGAGTCCCCAGCTGGCCCCGGGCTTAAAGTGGTGTTGTCGCTTTGAAATACCGCCTGCTCTTCCTCCCTCTTGCTGATAGAGGCAGCAAGGGGGGAGGGGAAGTGACTAGTCGACTCGTCTTCACATCCCTATATTAAATTAGAGACGGTTGAGCTTGTCTGAAAAAAAAAGTGTTAGATATGGACACAAACCAGAAGATTAGATGCAAAACCTCTCTGGACACGGGGAAGTTCCCTGCTGGACTCAATCGTCACTGACCGAGTCACATCGCTAAAACCACGTGCTGCTTTGAAAAGCAGCTGAGATTTGGATGTGAAACCAGACACACCACACTTTAAAACCCATGGGGGGAGGAGCAGGAGGCAGCACCACGTACTGCATTGTCAGGTGGGGATTTTGGAAGAACGCAGGGCACCTCGACTTTTGTGCCATTCTATTATCAATCATTGCTTGTTTATTTAGATTTTCCACCCAAAAGTACCTCCTTCCCAAAGAGAGAATCATCCAGAGTTCTGGTAGCCCTTGGCATACATTTAAAAGCATACCACTGGAGAGCAAAAATAAGAATCATCCCTATCGACCGTCATTTTCTTTACCCTGACCACTTCTCTCCTCCCCACGTCATTTAATAATGTGCAAACATATTACAGTGTTCGTTAGACGTGACAAATCAAGGGGAAAAGGCTGGGAATTTCCAAGTTTAAAAGATTTAAGTGCCCAATTCCCGTTACAATTCAATAAAAATGGCTGCTTACTTCTCTTAAGCTTGATTCCAAGTTTAAAAGATTTAAGTGCCCAATTCCCATTACAATTCAATAAAATGGCTGCTTACCTCTATTAAGCTTGGTATATGCTAAGAAGTTATATCAAGTATATCAAGGTCATTTTGGGATGTGATTCCCTCTCCCTCCATAAAGGTATAACAGAGAAAACCCTAGTCTGAATACAGTAATATTGGTATGAAACTGCCCTTATTTTACTATTCTTCACTTCCTGATCTGGAATAAGCACTTTTATACCATTTTAACTGTGTCCACACTGAAGGGAGGTGAAGAGTTTCACTGCTAAAACTGTACTGGTATAGTCTTAGAGTCTTTTGAAAATCCCAATCTAGAGAGATAGATGGAGAGAGAATTTTGAGCAAAGTAATATTGTTGCTTTCTAATTAAGATGCAATTAATTAAACATAAAAAACCCTTTTCCTGGTTTAAATAAACTAAAATGGCCAGTTCTGTATTTGGGGAGATTTATTCCAAGATTCCTGTTTTTTAGCCATGTCATTTCTCTTATCCTGTGCTCTGTTCCAAACCTGCTTGCAGAAATAACAAGCAATTCTGTGCCATGTCATTTCTCTTATCCTGTGCTCTGTTCCAAACCTGCTTGCAGGCTTGCAGAAATAACAAGCAATTCTGCTGTTCTCCTCGCTGCAGGACCATCATCCCAATTCTATTTCAATTGGAGCGACCATGGCCCACGAGATGGGGCACAACTTTGGTATGAACCATGACACTAACTTCTGCAAATGCAGTTCTGCATCGTGCATCATGGCGGCACAACTCAGGTGAGGCATCTGCAAAAAGGAAACCACATAGTCTACGATTGCTTTGCGAGGCAGCTGCGGTCTGGCATGAGCATGCTCTGCCCTTGATGCCAATAGGAGTCTTTTCGTTTTCTTCATTTTGGATAAGGCTCAGAGCGTACCATTGATACCAGCCTGTGGACTGTGCCAGAAACACTTGCAATAACTAGCACATGTGAAACGATGAATGCAGAAAGCATGCTGTTTCATATCCTGAAACTCCTGCTCGTAACTTAAGTGGATTTCTCATGTCGAATGACATCTGCACTTCTTACCAGCCTCTCCAATAAGCAGCCAATTGAAAGCATCACTGAAGTGTCCAGTACAATTTCATTTAACCTTTACTTAGCCACCTACCTCTCCTAGACAGCAAGCAGGAATCAGAGTTCCCACCCAGGCTTGAGTAAGACAAGCGTCCCTTCACACTCAGGAAGAAGGTTCACTTCCTGCTGTTCGCGCTTAGTTGCAAAATTGCTCTGTTCTCAGCATTTGCTTAATGTGGGTTTGCTGCACTTCTGCCAGGGATCCCATTCATACTCTGCTCATCCAGGGCCCGAGGAAGTAAAAAGATTCGCATTGACTGAGATAGGTTTTTGATCCTCGCTTGACTCCTCTAGAAATTTGGGTTTCATTCTGCAAAAGCCTCCCGCTCCCTGAAGAGAGGTTCCAAAGAGGACGGAGAGAGGCAGAACAAGGAACAATGGTCTCATGTTACAGTGGGGGAGGTCTAGGTTGGATATTAGGAAAAACTATTTCACTAAGAGGCTGGTGAAGCACTGGGATGGGTTCCCTAGGGAGGTGGTGGAATTTCCATCCCTAGAGGTTTTTAAGTCTCGGCTGGCTGGGGTGATTTAGTTGGGGTTGGTCCTGCCTTGGGCAGGGGGCTGGACTTGATGACCTCCTAAGGTCTCTTCCAGCTCTATGATTCTAGGAATTGTGTCACTGTTGTTCCTCTTACAATCTCACGTCCTCTCTTCCCTTTTATGAGCTATTATTTTCCTCTGCCTTTTGCAAAGCGCTGAAAGAGTGGTTGAAGTTATACAATTTGTTTAACACTTCCCGCTTCCCCTGAAACTTTAGATCATGTGTTGAAACTCCAGTAGGAGGAGAACTTCCTGAAGCTCAAAGAATTCAACTGTGATTTGAGACTTTAGGACGCTGGTTGTTATCACTGATTAGTACTGTTGCCACAGGATTGTAGTAGGGAAAATCAAATCTCTCATAAGGAGAGATACGATGCATCTAACACAGCAGGGCTAAACTCGAAATAAGCTAAACAACTTGAGCTATGCTAATTGAGTAGCTAAAGTCGAAATAGCTTATTTCGACGTTTGGCACTGTCCACAAGGCACTTATTTCGAGACAGAGCACTCTTCCCCCGACTTCCCTTACTCCTCAATGAGTGTTACAGGAGTTGGAGTAATCTAAAGAGAGCACTCTTCCCCCAACTTCCCTTACTCCTCAATGATAATAGGGGCCAATGTAGACGTAGCCCGAGTGTTACAGGAGTTGGAGTACGCAGTCCTTTGGCTCAACATTATTTCAATATTATGTTAAAATAACTGCTTGTGTGTAGATGAGGATTATGTTATTTTGGAATAACATCAGTTATTCTGATAACTGATGTTATTCCAAAATTACACTGCTTTGTAGACATAGCCATAGTAACCAATCTCACACTTGTCTTATAAGGCCAGGAATTTCTGGTCTAAGATGATGATCTTTCCATGTTCTCAGTGTCTCCAAAAAAGTTATGTTTTTTTTTTAATTTTTCACCCTCAAAATATTTGTAAATGTTTAGAAATTAAACTTCTCAGGTTCTTAAAGAATATTTGGTGAAAACGACTATTAGCTTGTGTGCCTGTGTGCGCGCGTGAGTAATCAACTAAAATGGAAACCATGTTGATTCCTTTATGCAGCTACAATACCCCCAAGGATTTTAGCACATGCAGTCTACAGGAATTTCAGAAATACATTTTGGACCGAACGCCAGCGTGCATCACCAATATCCCTTCCCCAACAGACATAATAGCAACCCCCGTGTGCGGAAACAACTTTGTAGAGAAGGGAGAAGAATGCGATTGTGGAACTCCTGAGGTAACGATAAATAGTTGTGAAAAAAATACTCATCAAGAGATAGAAACCCGAGATTGTCCAGAGGTCTTGGGAGACAACTGCAACTTTCCATTTCTTGAGGGTGCAGAAATCTTGAGCTACAGAGACGGTAGTCACTGTGTAGTCATTTACCCCAGAGTGACATACTGCTCTGAGTCAGACCTTCCAGGTTCCAGGTTTTGTGGGACTATCCCACTTTAGCCACAACCCTCCAGCCTCCCTTCCTGGACTTGGCCCCTGCTACGGCTGTAGGCATTATGACGGACTCCCCCTCCGCCTTCTCCTCCCTGGCAACCTCTCCCCTTCCCTACTCTCTCCTTCTCTCCTCACTCTCAGCTTTGTCCTGCCATGGGCCATTCACAAGCCCCCTCTTCCACAAGCCAAGCTTGTGCTCATATCACTGAAGCCAAGGCCAGCTTGCCCTGCTGGACAGGAGCTGCCTCTTCTGGGTGGGTGTGGGGCACATATGCAGCTGCCCCTGACATCACCCCCCCGGGGGCAGAACCTGTCCCATTTTAGCCCGTGGGAATGCTGGGAGGTATGCGGTTTGGTAGCATGTTTTCTCTATGTTGCAATGACCCCTGGGGGAAGGCCCCTTTCCACAGCCAGGGTTATCAGAAGGGGCCGTTATGCAATTAAGAATCAGCCCCTTGGTCATCAAGCCTGAGAAGCGGAGGACCTGTGCAGGAGGAGGTACCAGACTTTCAAAGGGGGAGCTTCAGTTCGCATGGCCCCTCGGGAGCTCAGCACTTAACCCTCATCTGATCCACTAAGCGGGCGTTCCGGCTTGTGGAGCTTCACCTACATCGGCAGCATCACTGGAGAATCAAGGCCAACTCAAATGCGCATCAGCCCCAATGCTCTTTGCTGTCTCATGCCCCAAATTAGCGTCCGCCAGAGTATGCTTCCCAGGGAATAGCCATTCCGACACCATGAGCCATGCCATACAAGGCCACAGAAACAACCTCCCAGTTAGCGTGGAAACTTATTTCTAAGAACACCACAGTCCCGGACGGTTGTCAGAGCAGAACGTGTGTGTGTGCAGGGGGGACAGCAGAGCTCTATGGGGCCAATAAACGTGAGGGGCCCCAGGGCAAGGTGGAGGATGAAAGGTGCAGGGCCTCAGGCAGAAGGAGTGGGGCAGGGACTAGCCACCCCAAGGCAGCCCTCAGGCCCCTTAGACGGGCCTGGCAGAAGACAGAGTTGTGGCTGAACTGAGCTGTAAGCTGATTCAAGTACCAAAAAGAGGGAGAAAAAAGATTCCCCTTAACCTCTTACGATAGGGCAAGATGCACTGGGCTTAGATTGCAGCAAGGGAGGTTTAGTTTGGACATTAAGAAAAACTTCCTAAGTTTCAGGGTGGTTAAATACCGGAATCAATTGCCTAGGGCGGGTGTGGAATCTCTATCCCGGGAGATAATTAAGCGCAGGTTAGATAAACACCTCTCAGGGATGATGTAGGTGGTGCTTGGTCCTGCCGTGTGGGCAGGGGACTGGACACGATGCCTTCCTGTTCTAGAATTCTGCGGTTCTATTATTCACTTAGAATAAGGAAGAGTTCTATGTGATCTGGGCCTTAAAAAAAATCAGCAGTTCCCTGGAGCACGTGGTTCTGTAATTTTATAATCAAGCAGGCTTCCTCATCACACACAGTCCCACTTAGTACGATTCGTATCAGTTTCCTTTCCCGTAAAGCCATTTTAGATACGTGTTGTACAACTGCACCTCACTCTCGCTCTCTTTAAGCGAAGTACACGCTGTCCTATGAAAAATGGGCTCCCGGGGGAAAAATAATAAAAGAAAACACAGAGCACTGTACCGTACCAACAATTTTCTCGGTGATTGTTTTCCAGGAATGCACAAATGTCTGCTGCGAAGCTGCGACGTGCAAGCTGAAGCCGAATGCGAAATGTGGATTTGGAGAGTGCTGTGAAAACTGCCAAGTAAGACCCTCTCTGCTAGTTAAAAAGCAAATTGCGTATCTTAGGCATATTTTAGAGTGCAGTGTAGACATAGCCTTAGATTTAATCTTGAATACATTTAGCGGAGTCCAATCCATATCAATCTTTATCTCTAATAATAATGATTTGGCAGAGTATACAATATAAAAGCCATTAAAGCTTAATACATTAAGACTTAAATGCTTGGAATGTTATATATATATATATATAAAATATTTTTTCCAGGCTTCTTTAAAACTGCTGTAGCTCCTTACATCAGGATATTATAGAATCTCATTGAAAATAATAGCAGTCAGCAAATACCTAATTTGCACCAAACCTCAACTAATCCTCTCTCTGGGAATTATATTAGGTCTTATATAAGCAATGTCACACAGCACTTACAGATCAGTCACTAGACACATCTTGGGGCTAGCACCGGTGGGTTTATGGGAGTGCCGCCAATGTTCTTGATTAGCAGGCTCAGTGAAAGGGCCATTACATAGTCATTATATATGCAGAAGTCCCACTGATTTCTGTGGGAATTGGAAGTTTGACTAGTTTCATGAGGGAAGCATGCGTGGAAAGCCTGCCCCACTGGTTCTGAGTGGCCCAGTTTGCAGAGATACCAGAAACTCTGGCCAGGTCTACACGAAAAGGGAACACCGAATCAAGATATACAATGAACATAGCTGAGGTTGACTAACTGGAGTTAGCGTACCTTGTTTTGAGTTTCCCTGCTGTCCCCACAGTGGGAGGACAATGGCTTCCCTTACATCTTGCACAAGCAGGAGTACCAGATGCTGATGGGGGCACCATCTGAATTCAATTTAGTGAGTCTTAACTAGACTTGCTAAATCGAACTCCGGAAGATCGATTGCAACAGCGTCGTCTTCCATTTAGTGAAGACATGGTCTCAGGGTTTGATCTTAATGGGTAGCATGAATGGTCAGGCCATTAGAGGCTTTTAAGTCCTATTCAGTGCTGGGATAAGTCCACTACCGAGCACTTTCAGCAGTGGGCGGGAATAGCATGCCTGAACCTGCTCTTCTCTCTCTGCTACAGCTTAAAAAAGCTGGGACAGTTTGCCGAGCGAAAAAGCATGACTGTGACATACCCGAGCTGTGCACTGGCTGGTCCCACGAGTGCCCAGTGGATCGATTCCGAGTCAATGGATACCCCTGCCAAGATGATCAGGGTTACTGTTACATGGGGAAATGCCCCACCCGAGAGAGCCAGTGTGTTGCTCTTTGGGGACCAGGTGAGTGAGGCTGTCAGTTAAAAAAATCTGATTGTTTAAGGTGTGTGGGAGGGCATTTGGGACAGATTTTTGCCTGCTGTATGGCACTCTGTCAAGTGCATTTTGAGCAGTGGAGACAGTATGTCAGTTATACAGGTGCAATCCTAGAACCGGACTGTATTTAATATATAACCCATTTTATCATCAGGATTAACTGGTTTTGAGAGGTATCTACTTACCACTTTCCCAGCATTGACAAAAATGTATCAACTTTAAGAGTTTCTTCCATTAGAGAACATGCTTAATCTCTTTTTCCTATTGTCACATTCATTTAGAAAACAAAGCCCACAGAAGCTTTGTTCTATTAATCTGTTAATGCTTGCTTTAAAAAGAATGGAGCGCTAGAGAGTGTAGTATAACTAGCATCTCTTTTCTGTCTAAGACCAAATCTATCCTAGGGGACAAAGTCGAACTAAGATACACAACTGCAGCAACGTGAATAGTGTAGCTGGAGTCAATGTACACTAGTTTGAATTTCTGTGGCATCCCCACTGTAGGAGGTTGGGTCAATGGGAAAAACTCCTCTGTCGACTTCCCTTACTCTTTGCATCCCGGTAAAGAACTGGCATTGACAGGAGTGCGATCAGCAGTTGATTTAGTGGGTCCTTACTAGACCCACTAAATCAACCCCTGAGAAAGTGATCTCCATAGTGTTGCTCTCCTGGCAAGTGGTGACAAAGTCTTAGTGCCTTAGCTTTTTTTTGTTGGCACTTGCAGTATACAAGACATGTCATTTTTCTTGATCCCTATCAGCAGGTTAAATGGTTGGCGGTGGTCAGGCTTCAGACTAGTAGGATGCGAATTGCAGTGTGCATTAGCGTGCTCTGGTGTGATGCACTGTAATTGCCCCACATACACATTTCCAGTGCAAACAAAAACATCCAGGATTGCAAACTAGGTATCTTTTAGTTCATCCCACCTGTGTTCTTGCAGGGGAGCTACAGCACAACATGCTAGTCAAATTGTGGAGCCATGTAGATAAATACCAAAGACACCTTGATGTGGAGTAACAGGGAGTTAGTGCAGAGTAGTTGCTGGACTTGAAGTTCATACTTGAGCTTAATCCACATTAACTTTGTAGAGAAACCCTCACTAGTTTATCACACATCTCCCTCCCCCGCCCCCCCCAAAAAGGAAGAAAGCTTTCAAGACTTCATTAACTTGGGGTCTGGTTGTTGTACGTTAGTTTGTGTGTAATCTACTATTTTTACGTCATCTCTGCATCTGCTGATCCCTACCAGTTTCGTTAGCTCAGTACCACATTTCAGACATTTTTCAGTATGCCATTTCTTGGGAAAGAGGAAGTCAGAAAGTAATTCCTCTTTTGCAAAATGTGGCAAAAAAGATTTACATGACAAACTGAGGAAATATCTCCGTTTCCACACTGCTGTGATGATCGGCACGTTTCTTTTTTACTTCATAATAATTATATTTTTATGGCTCGATAGGGCCATTAGAGAAATGGGAGAGCAAACAAGATGCAACTATCCCTTGCTTGTCAATGACAAATTATAAACTAGGTTCCTACTAGGCCTTGTCTCCACTTACTGGGAGATTGACACTGCAGAAATCAATCTCCTGGGGATTGATTTAGTGGGTCTGGTAAAGACCTGCTAAATCTATCACTGATTGCACTCCCATTGGCTCTAGTTCTCCACTGGGTTGCGAGGACTAAGGGAAGTCAACAGAAGAGTTTCTCATGTCGACTCTCCTGTCGACCTTCTACAGTGGGGACTCAAACTAATCTTCAGATCCTACGTGTGTTGTGCTTGATGTCTTAACACCCAGCTCAGAAGCTCCAGCTGTTCTCACTATTTATTACTTCCATCGCACCTAGTAACTCCAATCTGCAAGGCAGTGAACAAACATGTAGTAATGGATAGTCCTTGTGCCAAAGAGCTTACAGTATAAATAGGCAATGAAAACAAAGGAGGAGCAGAGGTAGAGAGAGATGAATGGGCAAGCTCTAGCCACACAGAGGATCAGTGGCAAACTGAGAAAGAACCCAAGACCTCTTAACTTATACTCCAGCGCCCTATTCACTGCGTCATGCTCACCTCAAACATCAGGCAGCAAAGGCGTATCTGCAAGTTTTCCCCTCATTTATAGCCAGGGAGCCCCAGGTTTAGATACAGCAAGGCCAACAGCACCATGCAGCCTGGGGTGAGGTACAGTAGGGGCCAGCTCTGCTTCCCTGGAGGGGTCAGGCCCTGGGAAGAAGGGTATGGCCAAGGCACCCAGCCCTCAGCATCCCCCAGACTGCAGCTAACCCCTCACCAGCCCTCAGAGCCATGCAAAGCAGCACTCTGGTACTCCGACGATGATTCAGACGCACCCAGGGCTTCAGCCACCGCCTCAGTAGCAGCACTATGAGCCAGGAGCTCTGGGCCCCTTTGAATTGCCGGGCCCCAGGGCAACTGCCCCCTTTGCCCTCCGGGCCTGTTTATATAGAGACTGGATCCTCAATTATGGGCAAGGAGCACACATGGGTTGAGGGTGGGGCAGAGAAGGGAAGGACAAAAGTTTGCTTCGAGCTCATTAAATTTGGTCAACTGGGAGCTAGCCTGGTCTTCTAGGGTAATCTAGAGGCACCTGAAGTTACATCTTGGGCTCTAGGGCAGTGTTTCCCAACCAGGGTTCTGCGGAACCCTGTGGTTCCGCAGACCATCATCAGGGGTTCCACGAGAAATCGTGGAATAAATAAATATTTTTTTTCATACCATGAACGCTGATGTATATAACAGCTCTTTACAAAAAATGTTCTTGACTATAATTTAGCAGTAACTGAATTGCGCTCCCCGCTGTCAACTTTTTCTGGACAAGCAAACGTTTTCATAGGCAGGCGTTCCTCGGAATATGAACAATTATTTTAGGGGTTCCTCCATGGGAAAAAGGTTGGGAATCACTGCTCTAGGGAGTCAAAATGACAGCTGGGGATTGGTGTATCACATCCATGCCTTCCAGCTGTACACAACCCCTGACCATAGCTCCCATAAAAGGTGCATGCCTGCGAGGCCGTGCACAATGAAGTCTTCTCCAACCAACGTCCTCTGGAGAGCTGCGCAGCAGGCGGCTGCTCCAGTGGGCAGTGCTGGCTCAGATGGTGTGGTGAGGGAGGTCAAAATGACAGCTGGGGATTGGTGTATCACATCCATGCCTTCCAGCTGTACACAACCCCTGACCATAGCTCCCATAAAAGGTGCATGCCTGCGAGGCCGTGCACAATGAAGTCTTCTCCAACCAACGTCCTCTGGAGAGCTGCGCAGCAGGCGGCTGCTCCAGTGGGCAGTGCTGGCTCAGATGGTGTGGTGAGGGAGTCGCATGGGTGGGAGGGCTGGGACCTTCGATGGCTGCATGGCAGAGGCAGGGGGGAAGGCCTGCTCTGGTAGCCAGAGGTGCCATATGGCACCTGGAACAGGACCTGCCGCATGAATGGGTGGGCGGGGGTCTGTTCCAGCAGCGCATGACAGGGGATGGAGGAAGGTTTCTGTTCTGGTGGCCAAGAGAGAGAGAGAGAGAGCGAGCGAGCGAGCGTGCGTGCGTGTGAATAAATTGGGTGCCACAGTGGCACACATCCAAACCGCACACATGACCTCAATATTGGTGCACAAGCCAAAACTCACTCTGCTCATGGTTGGAAAATCTTAGCAGGAACCCTGACCCAACTATCTTTTGTCCATCTCCCCTGTTATGCTTATAAGAAGCACACGGAATGGCTGTTTATTAAAAACACAGCATGAAAAGCAGCACATGTATTGACACACACATACCCAAGACCTGCAGATGAGTGAGAACATCCAGCCTTTCATGACTCAAGCCAATCTTATTGGCCAAGTCAGAGTGAACATGGAGAGAGGAGTCGGTGAATCATGATTTGAGGCTCTTCTGAGGGTTGGCTTGCAGGACCACACCCAGACACTTACGGCAAGAACACTCCATCTTCTACTTGTAAGATCCCATGTGAGCTGATGGGTTTTGCAGTGACATGCTACAGTCCTTGATAAGTAAATCTTGTGGGGTTTTCCTTGGGGAGTATCTGTCTGTCTCCAGAGCTTCTCTATTCTGCTAATTCATTCAGCCTTGGGCACCAGGGATGGTCTCTCCAAGGGTGTATCTAGACTACATGGCTCCGTCGACGGAGCCATGTAGATTAAGGTTGTAGGCAAAGGGAAATGAAGCGGCGATTTAAATAATCGCAGCTTCCTTTAAATTAAAATGGCTGCCCCGCTGTGCCCTCCAAGGGTGTATCTAGACTACATGGCTCCGTCGACGGAGCCATGTAGATTAAGGTTGTAGGCAAAGGGAAATGAAGCGGCAATTTAAATAATCGCCGCTTCATTTAAATTTAAATGGCTGCCGTGCAGAGCCGATCAGCTGTTTGTTGGCACAGCGTTGTAGTCTGGACGCGCCGCGGTCAACATCAAAGCCCTTTGTCGACCGCCCCGTTAAACAAATCTACATGGCGCCGTCAATGGAGCCATGGAGTCTAGACGTGCCCCAAGTCTCCCAAGTCTTTTTGACCATCTGAACCTTCCTGGTGAGACGCTTCACCCATTCTCCACTCACACCAAACAATGGACGGAGCATTCCAGACAAAGGCTGGCAGAGTTACTAGAAGGCACAACTTAGTTTGCAATGCAGACATTGGCTAATTCTGAGAAAGAGGGTGAAAGTCAGGCATGCAGAACTGATCAGCAAATCATTATACATCATACTTATATTCTTAAACCAATACTAAAATATTGCATTGTGGCTACACCTCCTCCCTTTGTGTCTCGGCTATTCCTACATAGCTCTGACAGCATCGAGTATATCCTGGGTGCTAGTGCCTTGCACGATTCATTTGAGTGAGGTGCCCCTGCACCTCAGATTAGATCCATACATTATGTGATGGCAACAGAACGGATTGTTTCCTCTGCTGGTGATGCCTTCAGTTTTCTGCCAGCAGAGGAACTGGCTTGTGCTGTATTATTTTCCCATGTTCTTCACAGCTTTTCTGTCTTGTTTGCCCCCCTCCCCAGGTTCAACAGTAGCTCCAGACTCGTGCTATGCGGTGAACCAGAACGGAGTTTACTACGGACACTGCAGAAAGGGAAATGGCACCTTTATCCCCTGTGCAAAAAAGTAAGTGAAAAAGTACTTACCGCATTGAAGTCCATGGGATTCTAGGCAACCGAGGGAACTCGTGTCCATCCGAAGAGGTGGAAACTAGGCCAACTCCTTCCTAGCAGCTCTTTCTTTCAGCTCTTCTCAATCTAGGTGTGGCAGCAAAGCAGGGTCGTTTCTGATAAAAAGAGAGAGACGCTCAGTTTCTAAATACAATTCTGATGCAGGCAACGAGAGCTGGGTAAACTAGAATGTTCTTGGTCAGGGAGGGACTTTTGACTAAGGAAGAATGAACCTGAGGAGAATCAAGGGCTGGGTCTACTTAAACGAAGCATTCAGTCCTGCAAAATACCGCAAGCCTCCTCCATGCCCCCACTGAAGTCGGAGAGTTGAGCAGTAGGGCTCGTGTCTACGCAAAGCGAGATAACATGGGTGATCATTCAAATGTTCATTGCTAATCTGTTTGGGTGCATCTACACAGCACCCGAAACTCGAAATAAGATGCACAATTTGTGCTACACAATGTGCATAGCTTATTTCAAGTCTATTTCGAAATAGCTTATTTCATCGTTTGGCGCAGTCTACACAGCACCAAATTTCTAAATAAAGCGCTATTTTGAACATCCTTTATCCCTCATAGAACGAGGTTTACAGGGATAGCGAAATAGCGCCTTGGCTATATTTCGAAATAGCGGATGCGTTCCAAAGACGCGGGGTATCTATTTCAGGATACCTCTGGTATCCCGAAATAACTTTGCTGTGTAGACGTACCCTCAGTGCGCACAGGGCTTTGGTGTGTGGTGGAGCCAACATCCAGGAAGCTTGCTATGCTCCGGTGTTATTATAGAAGAGCGGCTCTCAAACTTTAGCAAGCCAAGAACCTCCATTTTGGTACAATTTTGGGGAGGACTCCTAAGATGGCTTCTCATTGTCCCCACTCAGCCCCTCTCCTGAGGATGCCCCATTCCTGC